GCCTGAGCCCGCGGGTTCGAGACCCGCCTGGGCAGCAAGACCTTATCTCTACAATAAATCAAAAAAATCAGTCGGGCGTGGTAGCACATGCCTGTAATTCCGGCTACTTGGAAGGCTGAGGCGGAAGGATCGCCGGAGCCCAGCAGGTCGAGGCTGAGGTGGCCGGGAGTGGCCACTGCAATCCAGTCTGGGCGACTGAGTGAGACTCCAACTAAAAAAATAAATAAATAAAATGGTGAAGTTGGTAGGGTGAAGTGGCTCACACCTATAATCCCAGCACTTTGGGAGGCCGAGGTGAGAGGACTGCCTGAGTCCGTGGGTTCGAGACCAACCTGGGCAACTTGGTGAGACCTCATCTCTACAATAAATCAAAAAATTAGCCAGGTGTGGTGGCGCGTGCTTGTAGTTCCAGCTACTTGGAAGGTGGAAGGACTGCCTGAGCCCAGCATGTCGAGGCTGTGGTGGCCGCGAGTGTGCCACTGCACTCCAGCCTGGGCGAGTGAGATGCTTGACTCAAAAAAAAAAAAAAAAAAAGGTGAAGTTTGTTATTATATCACAATATCAATTTTTGGAATGTTAAAAAAAACACTCCAAACTAAACCCCTTCCTCTCCCAGGCAGTACAGGACTTTCTGGCTGAGCTTGAGGGAGGGGTGGAGTCACCCTTGTGGTCCACTCTGTGGCGGGAGGTGGGTGGTGGAAGGGCAGGGGCCCCCAGCCCTGGTGAACAGGACCTGGCCTGGCTAATGGCGACAGAGTGTAGCCCCTCACTCAGTGTTCCCCAACTCCTGGCATGGATACCAGCAAGACTGAATCTCAGGTGACACAACTCCAAGGCCCAGGGTCAGGGAAATGGACATATAGCAAGAAGCGTGAAATCAGCCTGGGTGGCACCAGGGAGCGGCAGGACTGAGATGAGCTGGGTTGGGCGACCCTCGGCCAAGGGGAAGGAGGCACCACGCCCAGAGTGGCTGTGGAAGGCAGAGGGACGGAGGGTCCCGGGGACCCGCATCAATTCCCTCACCCCCCAGCTTTGCTGTTGGCATTCACTTGGGGTCCTACACACAGCAGCGACAGGGGGCTCTTGCCCCCCTCAATGGCTCTCGGAGACTCGAACCCTATAAGCAGCCCAAGCCCCTTCGGGACCAGAAGGCTGAGGGAAGAGGCAGGGCCAGACTTCAGGGGTGGGGGGCAAACCCTGGCTGAGGCAGGACTGTTTCTGTAGGGCCGCCCACCTTGCCTTTGGGCTCTTGTCTCAAGGGCAGGGGGTGGGACTAGACACAGGGAGGCCACCCAAGAGGCGTTCAGGGCAGATGGGGCCGCCCTGCTCGGTACCCTCCGTCCTCTGTGGTTAGCCTCTCCTGCGGGGCCTTCATTCAGAAGGTGTGCCCCCAGGCAGGGCGAGCACGAGAGCCCTGGGATGACAGATGCTTCAAGAAACCGGTGGCACAGCTGAAGGAGTGTCTAGGGACAGTCCGTGGCAGCCGCTTGGCACTGACTCCCTGACAGGAGCAGAAAGGAACCGTCTGGTGGCAGAGGCGCCTGCCAGACCTGCCTGCTCTCTGGGGTTCGCATCCTGCTTTCTGTTTGAGTCTTAAATGACTGCCTGGCCCTCCCGGCTGGCTCCCAGCAGTCACACGACTTGTATCCAGGCAACGCTCTCTCTTATTCACACCAACGGGAGCTCCCGCCTGCTTGCTCTGTTGCCTTCCGGCCTCTTCCCTGCACTGTTCCCCATCCCTCCACTCTCCTGAGTGTGTGGTAAGGGGTCTCTATACCTTGCCAAGTGAGGACCAGGACCTTACTGCCCCCCAAGGCCTTCTTCAGAAGCCACGTGACAATAACCAGCAAGTGCTCTGGCCCCAGAAGAGCCATTCATGGGCTTGATAAGGGCCGCTGACCCTGCTGGGGCCTTGTTTATCGTGGCCAAGTCCTGGTGGCTAATCTTCCCAGGCTCGGGCTTCCCAGTGCAGGGAGGGGCGGTTCCCAGTGCTGTTTAGCTTGGGAGAAACACAAAGGATGTTCTTGAACTGGGGTTAACGGTATCAGGCTTGAGAGAGGGGTCTGGGCTCCAAAAATGCGATATCTGGAGGTTGACAAGTCCCCTTGTGCCCGTGGACCCAGCTGGAGGCTTCAGGGTGGAGCTGAGGGGCTCCCCCATTTCCCAAGTCAGCACTTGATTCTGATTCCCGGCCTCCAAGAGGGTGCCTGCGAAACCAGTGAAATGAAACAGACGCTCCTGGCGCTTAGAGACCTTTTACCCACCCCTGGTCAGAGCTGGGGCCAGATTCCATTCTGCTGACAGAGGGGGAGGAAAGGTCAGAGCTGCTGGGTTACCTATTTATCTCTGATCAAGGCACAGGCATCACAGCGACACACCCAGACCTGGTGGTGGTGTTTGCCGGTCTTGCTCTGGCATGTGAAGCGGGACAGGCTGCCAGCTCACGGAGAAACCCACTTCACGTCTGGCCAGCGACAGCCTTGCCCAGATGCCAGGACACAGGGGCATGGGCATGTGCTGTGAGCCCTGGGAGACCTGACCCGGATGGAGCATTCTGAGCTCCGGGAAAGCCCTGGCTACTTCGCGACTTGGCAGAGTGGCCGCCACCAGGGACGCCAGCCTCGCAAGAGCTTGGCGAGGCCGCCCCCTCCAGATGGAGAGGTCAGGCTGGGACCACAGCACGCATGTGGGGGCCACGCAGGGAGGCCAGGCATGTGGCCAGCCGCTTGCTCTGCAAATCGGCTCCAGGGCTTGCCCAGCACACCTCTTTGACACAGAGGCCCGGGGTTTTGGGGGAGCCTTAGGAGGACAGGGAGGGGCTGAGAGAGTCTCAAAGAGCCGGACAGAAACCCAGTGTGACCGATGCTCTGCCTTCTCTGGACACAAGTCAAGTTGGCAACATTCTTTGTCTGCTCTCAGGAAAAAGAAAGTAGAAGAAAGTAAACTGAGGAGGCAGACTCAGAATATATTTTTGTTTCTCCAAGAGTTGTTACTGTGTTTGGTTCATGCAGAAAATCACAAAGCCTTTCACCTCTTCTGAGCAGGCAGCATCCTTTGCCAGTTCACTCCTGGATACCACGTGTGCCCTGTCAAGCCTGAGCTTCCCCCAAGAAGCTCGAGCTTCCTGCCAAGTCCTCGCTGCTGGGCCCCCCAGGGCCCTCTTTCACCACGCAACAGCACGATCTTATCCAAGAGCTGCATCTCAGGGCTCGGCTGTCTTCTGGGGCCCGCCCGGTGGGAATGGCAGAAGACAGAGGCCTCAGATTCTGACCACTTGGGCGGCAACACATGGACTCTGCCTCCGCTGCCCGTCCACGGCCGGCCTCCTGAGGTAGAGACGGCTGAAGGTGCCTCCCACCTGCCCTTTGGTCAGGCGCCCAGGATTCACGCAGACACAGCCGAGGACGTTCTGGGGAGGGAGGAGAGGGCTGTGGGTTTGGAGAGGCCTTTGACTAACTGGGGGCCGGGGTGAAGAGGAAGGAATCGCAGGGTGGTGGGACCCCAAAGAGGGTTTCAGAAAATGGAACGAAAGCAATCAAACACTTTTCCAGTCAAACATGTTCACTTATTGCTGGAAAAGTTTTTGAGTTCCTTTTGAGCTCAAACGGAATAAAGAATGAGGTGACTTAGCAGAATGTCAGTCGGCTCCCAAACGTGGCGACAAACTTGACCTAGCTGTTTGTTTTCCTGCGTGAAAACAAAATACCCTTGCTTGAGGTTGAACCGGCTCTGGTTTGGCAGGAGGGGGACTGGTCTGGGTGGATTCCCTATGAGGGACCCAGTTCCAAGGAGGGCAGGGCCTTGGGTGGTGGGGTAAGAATGACCTGAGAGCAAAATATTCTCAGCTGAGCTGCTTGGAGATCATATCAGAATCTGGTGGGAGGGACAGGCAAGGGCATATGTGACATGTTCCCAAGGTCCTTCTGGTTATGGCCCTGGTTAGAGCCCTCATTTGAGGCCTTCCTACTCTTTGGACTCCCATTCTCTGGGGGAGGAATCGGGGAGCAGGGGACACTGTTTATGAAGCATTTTTTTTTTTTTTTTTGAGTTGGAGTCTCACTCTGTCACCCAGACTGGAGTGCAGTGGCCACTCCCGGCCACCGCAGCCTCTACCTGCTGGGCTCCAGCGATCCTTCCGCCTCAGCTTTCTAAGTAGCTGGAACTACGGGCGCGCACTACCACGCCCGGCTAATTTTTGATTTATTGTAGAGATGAGGTCTCGCCAAGTTGCCCAGGTGGGTCGCGAACCCGTGGGCTCAGGCAATCCACTCACCTCAGCCTCCCAAAGGCGTGGGATTACAGGCTGAGCCACCGAGCCCAGCTGCGTTTTTATTTTTTATCTTTATTTTTTTAGTTGGAGTCTCACTCTATTGCTTAGGCTGGAGGGTAGTGGCACGCTCCCAGCCACTGAAGCCTCAACCTGCTGGGCTCAGGCGATCCTTCTGCCTCAACCTTACAAGTAGCAGAAAAACTACAGGCGTGCGCTACCACGCCTGACTAGTTTTTTGATTTATTGTAGAGATGAGGTCTCGCCAAGTTGCCCAGGCTGGTCTTGAACCTGTGGGCTCAGGCAATCCTCTCACCTCAGCCTCCCAAAGTGCTGGGATTATAGACTTGATCTACCGTCCGGCCTACTCGAGCATTTTACCCACAGATTTGTTTTCTGGTCCCGCCACCTCCCCAAGAGAAACAAGGCCTCAGGTTGGGTAGCAGAGGCCATCAGCCTCATCAGCAGACCCGTGAAGGGCACATGCCAGGTGGTCTGGAAGGGAAAGTCCAGGACTGGTTCTGGTGTTTCTGGCAAAAAGAAGAGTGCAAACCTACCTTCACAAAGTACCTCAGCTCTGACGGGATTATGAAGATGTCTGGGGTGACAGGCAGCTGCGCATAGACATAGAAAGTCTCAAAGTCAATGGACATGTCTTCCTGGGGTGGGTAGAGTGGGTAGTAGCTACAGAGAGGGAGAGAGACGGTCAGCAGAGGCTGGTGTGGGACCCTTCCCAGTCAGAGCCCCTCCAGGTATTGGCTTCCATGCTACTGGCATTCACAGATTGACTTTTTCTTTCCATGTTTGGGGAAGCACAGGCTTGTGGTCACAGGGTGAAATTCCCTGGCAGTGGCCTGGCAAAGGCTCTTAAAACCATGCCTCTGGCTGGATGTGGTGGCTCAAGCCTGTAATCCCAGCAGAGGCGAGAGGACTGCCTGAGCTCAGGGGTTTGAGACAGCCTGGGCAACTTGGTGAGACCTTGTCACCACGATAAATCAACAAACAAACAAAAAAGCCAGGCATGGTAGTATGCGCCTGTAGTTCCAGCTACTTGGAAGGCTGAGGTGGAAGGATCGCTGGAGCCCAGTAGGTCGAGGCTGCGGTGGCTGGGAGCATGCCACGTGCACTCCAGCCTGGGTGACAGAGTGAGATTCAGACTCAAAAATAAAAAAATAAATAGGCCAGGCACAGTGGCTCAGCCTGTAATCCCAGCGTTTTGGGAGGCTGAGGTGAGAGGACTGCCTGAGTCTGGGGGTTCAAGACCAGCTTGGGCAACTTGGTGAGGCCTCATCTCTACAATAAATCACAAAAACTAGCCGGGCGTGGTGGCGTGCACCTGCAGTTCCAGCTACTTGGAAGGCTGAGGCGGAAAGATGGACTGAGCCCAGCAGGTCGAGGCTGCGGTGGCTGGGAGCATACTGTACTCCAGCCTGGGTGACAAGAGTGAGACTCCAACTCAAAAAAAACAAAAAGTAGCTGGGCTCGGTGGCTCAGCCTGTAATCCTGTGCCTTGGGAGGCTGAGGTGAGTGGATTGCCTGAGCCCGCGGGTTTGAGACCTGCCTGG